TCTCGTGGGCGGTGAGCGAGGTACTGGGTGGGGTGGGGGGGGGGGGGGGGAGAGAGAGTAGGGTGTTGAAAGTGGAGAAGAGCTGGCGAGGACAGCTGGAGAGAGAATTGATGAGGGTTAGGAAGTAGGCTTGTTTGGCGGTGTGGAGGGAGGAGGTGTAGGTGAGGAAGGCGGATATGTAAAAGGTGTACGCTTGAGGGGATCTGGTTTTGCGCCATAATCGCTCCAGCGCGCGACTGCGTCGTTTAAGATTTTTGGTGCGGTTGTTCTGCCAGGGTTGAAGCGGTTGGGGTCTGATGCTGCGTGGGTTAGGGGTGCCTTAAAATCCTAAAAAAAATGTATATTCTGTTTACTAGTACTTAGTACTCCAGTGAAGTCACAGTAAATGTTACTACAATATCATGCTGGTGAGGTCTATAGACTAGAACTCTACCGTGCATAAATGTTGATTTTTTGTTGGGTCACCATCTACACAGTCAAGGATACATATAAGTCAACTAGTTTATCTACCAAAGGATTTCTAATCCTGTTCAGTAAACCTTGCGATTTGCAACTCATGCAGCTTTATTCCTAACGCAGGCCACACACAGAGCGTATTTCTTTCCTGCGACCATGGAAAGTGTTGACAGGGGAATCCCTCCCTGCCAGGAGAAGACATTGATTATTACAAGCTGCTATACCTATACCAGCCGCTAGCGATAACATGTAAAATCCGGCAGGCTGGTTGTACCCAAGTTGATTGATCAAGTTGAACATTCAGCTTGCCCATACATGGTTCAAATCTCAGCCTGCTGAACCGGTCAAGATTTGAACCATCTATGGCTGGCTTAAGCCTGGTGACTAGACAATGAAGGAGCAGCAGTGTAATGATGATGTTATTACTTTGCTCAGCAAACTCTAAGGTTATATGGTGAAGGAGCTGGACCATTACAGGCAGTAGAGGGGAGGGGCTATGTCAGTCAAGGAGGGAGGGGATACTTTCTGGACTGTTTATTCCCTTGAAGATTTATATGCAAACTGAAAGCCAATAAAAACATACTCATGGATAGAAAAACGCTGCAATACTTTATTTTTCTCTTCTTTTACCTGTATTTTTAAAAATGATTGACATTGTCTCTTTAACCACTTCCTGACCGCACTATAGCCAAAAGATGGCCAAAGCGTCGTTGGCTAGTTCTGTGACGTCCTCCTGTAAACACACACCCCCTGTGCGCGATCTGTGATCGCTGTGTCCTTCCACAGTTGATCACGTGTCCAAGTGAAGGGCCAATCAGAGCCACCTTTTACATGTGACTAGTTGTGTCCAATCACAGCTGATCACAGTGTAAATAGGAAATGCCGGTAAGCAGCATTTCTCAGGGGGACATCTACACTAATCATCAGTGCCCTGATGATCAGTGTAGCCCCATCAATGTGGCTATTAGTGTCCATCAGTGCCTATCTGTGCTGGTTTTCAGTGCATCAGTGCCCATCAGTGCCTATCTGTGCTGGTTTTTCAGTGCCCATCAGTGATGGCTATCAGTACCTATTTGTGTTGGCTTTCAGTGCCCATCAGTGCTGGCAATCAGTGCCTATTTGTGTTGGCTTTCAGTGCCCATCAGTGCCTCCTCCTCAGTGATGCCTGTCAGTGTCCTTCTGTGCCGCCTATCAGTGCCCATCAGCGCCGCCCATTAGTGTGGCCGATCAGTGCCCATCAGTGCCATTTATCAATGCCCATCAGTGCCGCTTATCAGTGCCCATCAGTGCCTCCTCATCAGTGCCCATTAGTGCAGCCTATCAGTGCCCATCACTGCAGCCTCATCAGCACACATCAGTGAAGGAGAAAAATCACTTATTTACAAAACTTTTTAACAAATACTAAGAAAAAAAACATTTTTTTCAACATTTTTAGTCTTTTTTTGTTTGCTTAGCAAAAAATAAATACCCCAGTGGTGATTAACTACCACCAAAAAGAAAGCTCTATTTGTCAAAAAAAAATTATAAAATGTATTTTTTTTGGTACAGTGTTGCATGACCACACAATTGTCATCCAAAGTGCAACAGCACTGAAAGCTGAATATTGGCCTGGGCAAAAAGGGGGTAAAAGTGCCGGGTAGGCAAGTGGTTTAAAACAACAATGGAGATTCAGATTCTTACAAACACCCTAACTAGCTCCCTTCAAGGCCCAAAGTTTAACCTTTCAAAAACCAGGATCAGTTTTCACTTTGTTTTATGCAAGGGAATTTAACAGCACAATGATTGCATTTATCTTCAGCACCCTGTGCAAGCTGCACGGTATATTTTATGGAAGGAAATAAGAATCCTATTATCTAATGAGACATTGCCACAATTAAAGAAAGAGAAGTATTCCAAGGGAAGGATCTACTCTCTGCAGCTGTGAAAAAAAAAATTAGAAAATCAATATTGATTCTAATTTTGTAACTAGTTTCATTTAAATGATCCATTTCCTGACAAAACCATAGAAAGAATTAAGCAATTGTTAATTGCATCTCCGCATAGCAAACATACACCCATCCCAAGCCAAAGTCAGCAATACAAGAATAAAACAGTATGTTGGAATCTCTTTGATCTGAACTATTTACTCAAGGAAAGTAGCAAACCTTTTGAAAACCTACTGATTGCCTCATGTTAAAGAATTTCTGATAGCATAAACAAATGTATGCGTGAAATGTCTAGTTTAATGTTATGTTTTTAAATTTTGGATAGCGTGCAAGCGGTTCTTGAGATTGGGACAAATTTATGACTTTTCCACACCAATATTTTTAAAAATAGGTTGTTGTATAAAACTAAATTGGCAGCATTCGTAAGGCTCCATTCACATCTGAGCGTATTGTTTTTCAGCGTTTTTGGCATTTTTTTGTCGTAGGCCTTTTTGCACGTCTTCATACAGCGTTTTTAGACGTTTTTAAACTTTGGCATTTATTAATTAGCCAATAGAGAAAAATATCATCTGTTGTATCATTTGTTGCTAGGTTTCTTTTTTTTTTTAGTTTTTTCCATCAGCTTTAGCTTTTATTAATATTAATATTATTATTATTGTTCATTTTTTGCCAAAATAATTTGGCATCCTTGCCAAATGTCCACTACTCAAGAGATTAACAAGTTTGCACTTCCTCCATTGGTAGACGATCCATCTTTCACCTGTCTGTGACAGAGTGTGGAGTGTTTCATAGCTGTGAACAAGTGTGGACTCTCTGAAGACTGAGATTCTGGTTTTGCTGAGCTCCTAAAACAGGTGGGAACCCTAAACCCCAGTGTGGGACCAAGAAACTGGCAGTGAGCTATGTTGTATTGTTTTCTTTATACTAGGACTGTGAACTGCTTTACGTTCTGTGTTTGTCTGTTTTGAGAACCCAATAAACACTATTTACTTTTACAAGCGGCTTGCTGGTGTTCTCAGGCCCTTCATATTACAGTATATATTTAAAAATACCTGTCGATCGTGCCGGAACTACAGTGAGCTGATGACTACCTTTGTCCTCTGCCTGTACTAACTATTAACAATCACATTACTCCCAGCTCACTTTGAGGACAGTACCATGCCCCTCTATGTTATGGATAATAGCAAGAGAAAGGTGGGGATCTGTAGTCCTACCTTGTTTCTGTTTTCATCCTAGGACTGCAGGTGAGCTACTGGCAGAATCACCAAATTAAAATAATGAGAAAAGGCTTGAAAAAAATTAAACTAATGCAGCAGCCACATCTAAAGCTACTTTCAGAGTGATGCAGTGTGGTTTGTCTTCACCAGTGGAGCAGCGCAGTGTACCCGCAAACTTGGTGCCATTTATCTGCTCTTTCCCACAGAGTTCTATTATGTCTTGCACAGGGGCGGACTGACCATTTGGAAACTCGGGTCAGTAGGGGGCCCCATGAGATGCCCCTGGTACCTTTTTCATAGGCTTTTTTGAGTTTGGGCAAGGACACAGGGGCCCCATGATCCCCTATTGCCCGGGGGCCCCATGAGTTGTCAGTCCGCCCCTGTCTTGCATGTTTGGTGCACTTTTATAGAACAAACCAAACACAAAGGACATAATATAATCAATTGGGGAAGCTCAGCTAAACCTCACAAAATCCATGGGTATATTACGCTGCTCCACTCGTGTGGTCAAACCGCATAAGTTTGAAAGCAGCCTAAGTATTGGTGATCTGTAGGGTTGCATAGAGTTATTTTATCGGTGAGTATGAGTACTGATGCTTTTGGTCAAGTACTCACCGATACCAAGTACTAATACCTTTGCAGTGCGATTTGAGCCCATACAAAATGAATGGGCTCGAATCGGACTGCAAAGAATCACATGTGATTTAAACATGAATGTGGTGTGATTCCTGTCCAAATCGCATGCTATTTCCCCCTCTTGTGTGATCCCATTATAGAAAGACAGAGAAGTGATATGAAGGGCAGCAATGGGCAAACAAACAGGTTAAAATGTTATCACAACTCACATGTTAAAAGTGCTTAATATCTCTCATGTCAAATACAAAACTGAACATTTGCAGTGCTCACAGGGCTGGAAGATAGGTAGGATGTTCTGGGACCCCTGTGGGTATAGGGTGGAAGTAATGTCATTTTTGGGACGGACTGCCTATACATCTCCTCCAGTCCTGTGAGCATTGGTTTTGGATTTGACATGCATGATATTAAGCACTTTGAGTTGTGTTAACATTTTAATTTGTTTGTTTGCCCATTGCTGAACTTCATGGCACTTCCCTGACTTTCTATAGTGGGATGGATCACACAGAAGCCGAAGGGGAAATTGCATTTGATTTGGACAGGAATCACACTGCTTTCCTGTTCAAATTGCATATGATTCTTTGCAGTGCGATTTCAGCCCATTAATTTTGTATGGGCTCAAATCACACCACAAAGGTATCGGTTTCGGGTATCGGGAGTATTTGCATTTTTTTGTTTTTGAATTTAGAGATGCTGTACCTCTTTTTCATCTTTATACACCTCTGTGATTATTTTTCTAAGGCCCCTCTTCTGTTTGTCAGAAATTAACATATATACACTATATTGCCAAAAGTATTGGGACACCCCTCCAAATCATTGGATTCAGGTGTTCAAATCACCTCCATGGCCACAGGTGTATAAAATCAAGCACCTAGGCATGCAGACTGCTTCTGCAAACATTTGTGAAAGAATGGGTCGCTCTCAGGGCCTCAGTGAATTCAAGTGTGGTACCGTCATAGGTTGCCACATATGCAATAAGTCCATCCGTGCCACAAAGTGGTAGGCCACATAAAATGACAGAGTGGGGTCAGCACATGCTGAAGTGCACAGTTTTGAATAATTATTTTGGTCTTCATCAACATATTACACATATTAAAATACACTATATTGCCAAAAGTATTGGGACAACCCTCAAAATCATTGGATTCAAGTATCACCTCCATGGCCACAGGTGTATAAAATCAAGCACCTAGGCATGCAGACTGCTTCTACAAACATTTGTGAAAGAATGGGTCGCTCTCAGGAGCTCAGTGAATCCAAGCGTGGTACCGTGATAGGTTGCCACCTGTGCAATAAGTCCATCTGTGAAATTTCCTTGCTACTAAATATTTCACTGTCAACTGTAAGTGGTATTATAACAAAGTGGAAGCAACTGGGAACAACAGCAACTCAGCCACAAAGTGGTAGGCCACGTAAAATGACAGAGCGGGGTCAGCGCATGCTGAAGCGCACAGTGCGCAGAAGTTGCCAACTGTCTGTAGAGTCAATAGCTAAAGACCTCCAAACTTCATGTGGCCTTCAGATTAGCACAACAACAGTACGTAGAGAGCTTCATGGAATGGGTTTCCATGGCCGAGTAGCTGCATCCAAGCCTTACATCACCAAGTGCAATACAAAGTGTCGGGTGCAGTGGTGTAAAGCATGCCACCACTGTACTCTAGAGTGGTGGAGATGTGTTCTCTGTAGTGAAGAATCACGCTTCTCTGTCTGGCAATCCGATGGACATATCTGGGTTTGACAGTTGTCAGGCGAACGGTACTTGCCTGACTGCGTTGTGCCAAGTATAAAGTTTGGTGGAGGAGGGATTATGGTGTGGGGTTGTTTTTCAGGGGTTGGCGTTGGGCTTGGCCCCTTAGTTCCAGTGAAGGGAACTCTTAAGGCATCAGTATACCAAGACATTTTAGACAATTTCATGCTCCCAACTTTGTGGGAACAGTTTGGGGATGGCCCCTTTCTGTTCCAACATGACTGCACACCAAGGTCCATAAAAAAACATGATTGAGCAAGTTTGAGGTGGAGGAACTTGACTGGCCTGCACAGAGTCCTGACTTCAACCCGATAGAACACCTTTGGGATGAATTAAGCAGAGACTGTGATCCAGGTCTTCTCGTCCGACATCAGTGCCTGACCTCACAAATGTGCTTCTGGAAGAATGGTCAAATATTCCCATAGACACCCTCCTAAACCTTGTGGACAGCCTTCCCAGAAGAGCTAAAGATGTTGTAGCTGCAAAGGGTGGGCCAGCTCAATATTGAACTCTACAGACTAAGACTGGGATGCCACTAAAGTTCATGTGCATGTAAAGGCAGGCTTCCCACTAGTTTTGGCAGTATAATATACAGTTGCAAGAAAAAGTATGTGAACCCCTTGGGATTACGTGGAGTTTTGCATGAATTGGGCATAAAATGTGCTCTGAACGTCATCTAAGTCACAACAATAGAAGAACACAGTCTGCTGAACATAATACTACACAAACATTAGATGTTGCCATGGTTTAATTGCACATAACATGTAAACATTCACAGTGCAGGGAGGAAAAAGTATGTGAACCTTTGGACTTAATAACTGGTTGACCCTCCTTTTGCAGCAATAACCTCAACCAAACATTTCCTGTAGTTGCATATCAGACCTGCACAACGATCTGGAGTAATTTTGGACCACTCCTCTTCACAAAACTGTTTCAGTGTAGCAATATTCTTGGGATGTCTGGTGTGAATCGCTCTCTTAAGGTCATGCCACAGCATTTCGATCGGGTTGAGGTCAGGACTCTGACTGGGCCACTCCAGAAGGCGTATTCTGTGCTGTTGCAGCCATTGTTTTGTTGAATTACTTGTATGCTTCGGGTCATTGTCCTGTTGCATCACCCATCCTCTGCAGAGCTTCAGTTGGCGGACAGATGGTCGTACGTTTTCCTGCAAAATGTCTTGATAAACTCTGGAATTCATTTTCCCATCAATGACAACAATCCGTCCAGGCCCTGAGGCAGCAAAGCAGCCCCAAACCATGATGCTCCCTCCGCCATGTTTTACAGTGGGGATGAGGTTTTGATGTTGGTGTGCTGTGCCTTTTTTTCTCCACACATAATGTTGTGTGTTCTTCCCAAACAACTCAATCTTGGTTTCATCTGTCCACAGTATATTTTGCCAGTAGTGCTGTGGAACATCCAGGTGCTCTTTTGCAAACTTCAAACGTGCTGCAATATTCTTTTTGGACAGCAATGGCTTCCTCCGTGGTGTCCTCCCATGTACTCCATTCTTGTTTAATGTTTTCCTTATTGTAGATGTGTCAACAAAAATGTTAGCATGTGCCAGAGATTTCTGTAGGTCTTTAGCTGACACTCTGGGGTTCTTCTTTACCTCATGCAGCATTCTGCGCTGTGCTCTTGCAGTCATTTTTACAGGACGACCACGCCTAGGGAGAGTAGCAACAGTGCTAAACTTTCTCCATTTGTAGACAGTCTGTCTTACCGTGGACACATGAACATCAAGGCTTTTGGAGATACTTTTGTAACCCTTTGCAGCTTCATGCAAGTCAACAATTCTTCATCATAGGTCTTCTGAGAGCTCTTTTCTGCGAGGCATGGTTCACATCAGACAGTGCTTCTTGGAACCAGTAAACCCAAAACAGGTGTGTGTCTTTTAAGGGCAGGACAGCTGTCAGCAACACATCCAATATTATCACACTGATTGGAGTCAAGGTTGGCTCACTCCTGGCTCCAATTAGCTCTGGGAGAAATCATTAAGCTAGGGCCTCACATACTTTTTCCTCCCTGCACTGTGAATTTTTACATGTTATGTGCAATTAAACCATGGCAACATCTAATGTTTGTGTAGTATTATGTTCAGCAGACTGTGTTCTTCTATTGTTGTGACTTAGATGACGTTCAGAGCACATTTTTATGCCCAATTCATGCAAAACTCCACGTAATCCCATGGGGTTCACATACTTTTTCTTGCAACTGTATGTACTTTTTATTGAGGAACACACCTTCAAACCACACTTCCAATCTCATTGACATCATAGAGGTTCACATACTTTTTTCTCCAAGGGCCTTAGGTCTCCAAACAATTTGTTCAGTATAGATATTGCAATATACTGTGGGATATTGTTAGCATTTCTTTTACCATTATACCATAGGCCAAGATAATGTCCCACTGTACAAGCAAGCCGATGCTGTAATCTATTTTCTACAGCTGTTAGAACACTAGTTAAATTTTTCCCGCAGGTTCACTTTAAATTCCGTTAAAATTCTTGGTAGTCAGTGCGTACAGAACCTTCATTGCCAATTGTTATTCACTGTGGTTTTTTTACTTTAACGGCATGGTGCTCTGTATCAAGTGAGCTGAAAGATTTGAGTGACAAGGGAAAACATTTAAATAAAATCACTTATGCTGCTATTTACTAGAGTAACGCACTTTGAAATGCCAGCGGCTCTGGCTCTTATTTATGAATCACAAGGAGGTCCTCGGGTAAAAAGCAGAGAAGCGTTGTATGCAATCCTCAGCCAGTCCCCCCGCCAGTGGCAACACATTGACACAAAATTAATGTACAGAGAATATTTCCTCCAGAAAGTGCTAACACAACAATGCATCAAAACTAACTGTTTCCAAAAGGTAACAATACAGAGGCGTGATGTGACTTTCATCTTGTACAAGTGAGGAACAGCAGCTATGTTAGGACAAAAGGTGGTGTGATTCCCAAGATAACAAGGCAGTGACATTGTTCCATGTTTTACTCAGCTGAACAAGAATGGACTTCTGGCTAGGCTGAGACTGGAAGCTGCTATAACATATTTAAATTTATGAGTCTTACATTTTACCTGTAAGCCAATATGCATTCAAATTTAAAGAATATTACAATTATTTTCTAAAATATGTATGAATGTCAGCTATATCTAAAAAGGTCCTGTTGTGCAACTAAGCCAAATGGGCACTTCTGTGGTCTATAAGACTTCCCCAATATATCCAAACAAATGTTACACCTTCTTATTGAGAAGACCAAAGATATAGCTATTTAACGCAGAGATTTCCTATGTGCTGGAAAAGTCCAAGTGCTCATCATCATCCATCATCCATAAATGGCCCTAAACTTCAATTACCATTGTATCATGCACTGGATAGGGGCAAGATCTGGTCATTTATGGCAACCACAAGACTTTTTAAACAAACAACACCTTGGAAGGCAGCTAACATTTTGAAGAGATGTTAGAACTTTGTTGGACTCATAAAAATCTATGCCTTAACTTAATTTCACAAGTAGGACTGGCTGGGTAAATGTTGAAAGTTATATTGTATATATAGGAAATATTTAACATGGCAAAAATATGCGAGGTATGTCCAGAATATAATGAGAATGAAGTTCCAATGCTCGAGAAGGGCTCTGTGGAGGGAGAAGCTGGCCAAGGTCACTTGGGGTAGAGTGCCAGGTATACGTTAGAACGCTGATCAGTTGCATTCAGAGTCAAGACATTCTTTTTTGTGGTACTCTGTGTCTCTTATGAAGAAAAATAAAAGCGAGTTTTGAACAGCGTTACGCTATATAATGTTGTGTGAAATTGGGTAAAAGTGCCTCGTAAACTTTGGAATTGGTGAGGAAAGCTTATGAAGAAGCTGCACTATCATCTGCACAAATGTATCGATGGCATAAGGCCTTTAAGGAAGGACAAGAAGGTGTTGAAGTTGAGCAATGATCAGGATACCTTTCTTCTTTAAAAACAAAACAGAATGTGGATGCAGTGAAGTCTGTTCTCAACTATGACTGACAGCTCACTATCAGAATTATTGCAGAGGAAACGGGAATTACCAAGTCAATTGTTCATGAAATCAGGATTTGAACATGAGAAAAGTGTGTGCAAAACTTGTTCCAAAGAACTTGTCACCCAACCAGGGGCGGACTGACAACTCATGGGGCCCCCGGGCAATAGGGGATCATGGGGCCCCTGTGTCCTTGCCCAAACTCAAAAAAGCCTATGAAAAAGGTACCAGGGGAATCTCATGGGGCCCCCTACTGACCCCGGGCCCTCGGGCAGTGCCGATTTTCCAAATGGTCAGTCTGCCCCTGCCGTCAACTCATTTGCCAAGGCCTGTTGGCCCGTTTGGAAAGAGAGCCTGATTGAAACAAAGGCACACCACCCACAGCTTCTAGCAATCACAGGAGGTGAATCCTGGGTGTTTGGCTGTCAGAGAGTTTTTGGCTGATCAACACAGCATGGTACTTCCCCATCCACCCTACAGCCACAACTTGGCTCCTTGTGACTTTTTCATATTCCCAAAGATGAAGAAGAGTTTGAAAAGACACCATTTTGGTATTGCAGATAATGTCCAAGGAGCCACTACGCAAGCTCTAAATGCCATCCCACTTGAAGACATCCAGGGATGCTATGAAGAATGGAAAGTTGCTGGGAGTGTTGTGTACACTCATAAGTTGCATACTTTGAAGGAGACAATGTTCAATTGTAAAATTTTTCACTAAAAGAATTTTTAAAATATCATTTATACTACTTTCTGGAGATACCTCGTGTTTAAGAACACATTTTTCTCATATCCTAAAGGCTGATGCATATTTAAAACAAGGGCATATTCGTCGTCTTAGAGCCATAGAGGCAAAGAAATAAGGTTCCTATTCCATGTTCCATCATGTACTAGTCTCTCATCAATCAACCTGTCACTGTAAGAAAATAGGATTTTAGTACTTATCATAAAATATTTTTCTATATAGGAACACAGTAATTCAGCAACTCTTAAAAAGTCAGGTTATACTTTTGCCTACAGGAGATTTAGAAAACTGGAAA